GGTCCAACACCAATATTATTTTGTTTCTGGCAGGCAGAATATGTTCTGCGTAAGAGGAAAGGGTTAGTATTAAAGAAAGATTTTAGGGGCTAAAGGAGACTGCGTTGTGAATGGTGGGGAGCTGGTAAAGTTAGCCTTGTAGTCAGCATATCAAGAAACTCTAGGAAAGCTCTTTTGGGTGTGAGAGGACCTAGCCCTAGGGAGGAAGGGCCAGGGCTCTGGGCGAGGTCAGCAGGAAGACACAGCGGGGCTCGGATGTGTGCAGTCTCAAAGTGGCCGCAAAACAGGCAGCATTGAAGAGAAAGTCATCCTTGGTTTGGGAGACTACATGGCTACTATTTGTTCTCAGATGGTTTTTTAAAAAACCTTCAATCTTAAAAGGGACTAAACTCTATCAAAGTATATCCCTATTTAAAAACTAGTTTTTGCCTTTATGAATAGCCGTAATTAAATGATTTTTATCTGCTTTTGGTTATTGCTAATGATAAGATATAACATATAAGGAGCTCCAGCTGTGCACTTGGCACTCCACAGAACTTTTAAAATACACGCTTTTATTTAATTTGTACAACCCTGTTATGACAGTAGGTCTGTCTTATATTAACAATGAGGAAATAGAACCTGAGGGACATCAGGTCACCAAGCCAGAGTCACACAGCAGGTAACTCAATAGAATTTGAATCTAGCAGTCTGGCGGTCTGGAGTCCCCGTTTGCTCTGTGCTGTCTTATGTAGAAAATCATGGATTCCAGAGGGCAAAGATTATATGGTCTCTCCTCTTTAGTCCATTTCCCACGTCCTCCTTCATTACAGTGCGGAACCCTCCGATCCAGGAGCTTTGAAGTATTTATTAGAAGAATAACTCTAACTCTTCCCCTCTCTTCTGCCCCAGACTCTAGGGAAACAATTCTGGGCTTCCAGTTGGAGTTAAATCCTCAGAATAACATAGAAAAAAAATTCCTTTGGTTCTCATTAAGCTCCTAATGAGTTTTATTGGAGACACAAGTGAGGAGAGGAGCAGTGGCCATTTTAGATCTTGCCACTGTGGATTTACAGTTGTCCTTACCATCACTTACTGCAGTGTCTCAAGTGAAGACTTTGGAGCCCTTTCCTTTGAGAAAATCTCTCTGGGAACAGTGGCTGCTGTTAAGAAGCCCCGCTGCACCCCGGGAGATGTGTGGTTAGGAGCAGTGCACTGGCCTTTCCTGGAGAGCGGAAGTGCATCTCCCTCCCACAGATGCTCTGTGCCTTCTGGACCTGCAGGTTGGCACTGCAGCTTTTGCCTCCATCTTAGGGCTGCTGCTGAGGGTGCTAAGTACTTCTGCACAGCAGAAACCTCATTCCTCGGATGAGGAAGGGAAGGATGCTGCGGGGCCCCCTCAATCATTCAGCAGAGTGCCTCACCATAGCTCCCCAGCTGTGTGGACCTGCTTACTGGAAACCCAGTGTCTTAGTTACGTTATGCTCGTCGCTGAGACAAAATACCTGAAGCCCAAGTTGGGAAAGGAAAGGTTTATTTCTTACAGTTTTTGGAGGTTTCAGTCCACGCTCAGTTGGCTCCCAGGCAGGTGGGCTTTGCTGGGCCGCAGTTCATGGCGGCTGTAAACAGCAAGTGGAACCAGCAAAGAGCAAGACACACCTTCTTCCTGCCATTACATCACATCCTGGCTCCACCCCTATGTGGGTGGAGCACTGACACCATCAATCCAAGCACTAGACAATGCACCATCACAAATGAACAATGCAAACTCATGAGGCCTGGGGGGCACAGACATAAACCATGACACCCAGCAAGGCCTGGAGCCACTGGGTCAGTTTTGAACATCTATGGTGAGCTCATCACTGTAGGTACATGAATCATTAGCAGGACCCCGGGACCAGAAAGACTTCTAACCCGGTCTAGTTATGTAGTACTTGACTTGGCTCAGTTCTATCAGAGAAAAGGAACTCAGAATATGTCTTAGATGTGTTTTGACTCTTAGGCAAAGAAGTCTCTCCCTGCTCTTGGGAAGCTCTTGTTCTGAGTCATGTGGGCCCTGATTCATCTGCTGAGACAGTGTTTGTTTCTTCTTGTTTTTCCTGTCTTTACCAGAGAAGCTCCAAACTAGGTGACCAACACGGCCTCATGTAAAGAAAGGGACCTGTATACCAGCAAGCTGCGCTCTAGCACCAGGCCATGCTCTAACTACAGTAGCTGCTTTTGCATCTTTTGCACGTGCAAGGCATTCTGTGACTGCATGCGTTATGCGCCCTGAATGAGCAGGCTGAGTGATTGAGAGCTCAGGTTCAGGAGCCAGCTGGCTGCTTTGAAGCCTGGTTGCGTTACTTTCTAGCTGTGTAACTTCGGTCTTGCTCTGGGATGTGAGACAGGTAGTACTAACAGCTCACCTCTGAGTGTTAGATGAGTCCTACATGTGAAGCACAAAAGCGACTGGCATGGTAGATGCTGCCACATTCATTAGCAATAGCAATAATAACAACAGAAAGAGCTTCACAACTCTTTGAAGCAGGCAGCTTTTATAGCTATCTCAAAGATTTGGAAAAAGCGGTTCAAAACACTTTCCAAGCTACGGAGAGAAGGAGTCAGGATTCAAGACCTTGATCACACCCAGAAGGCCTCCCTGGCTGTCAGTCTCCTGGACTGTAAGATACAGGGTCTGAGGGACTTTGAGATCTTTAAAACTCAGAGATTCTGCAAACTCACTGCCCTCAACCTTGGTCTGTCCATCAAACCTGCAACAGTTCTCTCTTCCAAGTCAAACAGACCCATCCCTCTCGTGTCTAAAACTGGTCATTGTACCCTTCTGTCTGACCCAGTTTCCTGTTCCTCTGGCATTTGAAAGGCCAGTTTCGAAGGCGCAGACACTGCTGCATCTGCCATTGTCCCTCCCCTTGGCAGTGCTGTGGCGCTTTCCTGAGGGCAGGATGACTCCCTCCTTTCCCATTCACACCGTTTTTCTTTGTTCTTCTCTGACTCAGAATCTTTTCAGAATGAGAACTGGCACAAGGTAATGGTCCTTTTTGTTCTGTCAGATTTCCCCTCCTCTAAAATCCTACATTAACCAAGTCTCTTTCTCTCTCCCTCTTTTGCCCCTCATACACACACAAAGCCATACACACATTTTCACCTAGTTTGTGATATAGTGACACTTCCCCTCCTGTTCACTCTACATTATATATTGGAGCCTTTCCCATATTTGCCCATGCTGGCTATACTTAATTCAGCATGTACACATATGTGTGACTGTTGTCTTCTGGGCAGACAGTAAGGATATTTCCAGTATTTTGACTACAAACAACACCAAAACAAATATGCCTGAATACACTTCTTGTACATAGATAAATTTTTTCTATCATAAACACCAAGGTAAAAAATTTCCATGTTATAAAGTTTTAGACTTTGATATATTAGTTTTCTTTACTTTAGCTGACACCTCTGAGCTCACCCTAGCTCAAAGCTAGGATTCAGAGTTGCTGTGAGAAGGGCCGGTTGTTAGGAGGTCACACTGCATGCAGCTGGGGAGTCACCAGAACTCTCAGAAGCTAATTTGGCTGCTGCCCACATCTGAGTGTGAGAACTCATCTGTCTGAGCTCCTACCTTCTTTTCTGCATGTCCGTGACTCTGAACTCTGTATCTGCCCCTGTGAGACACCCAGCTTTCACTGACAGGAGTCCCCTTCAATGACTGTTGAGCCTGCAGTCCTTCATGGACTCATCAGTTCTTGGCTCTGGCCTTGACTTAGAGGATTCTGACCCCATTTGTGCTTTTTACTTATGCCATCGTGCTGATACCATAGGTCCCATTAGAGTCCACATTTCCCAACTCCTGCTGTGAGATTAGTATCCTAAGATGACCCTGTTTGGCATCATGCCCTCTTCTGACATTTTGCTGGACTTTACCACTTACCAGCATGGTGGTTGCCCAGGCTCACAGCCTGCTTACTGGTTTTCACATTGTTGTACAATACTGATTATTTTTCATTTCTAACCATATTTCTGCCTCCCTTATCCCTGTTTAAAAAAGGACACCTTTCTTTTTCCTATATCTATTCTTTGATATTCTTTGAGACTGGTTTTTTCCTAAGCATTCAGCTCTGTAATATTTACCGACTCATACTTACCTAATATACTCAAACACCGCTGACTTCCAAGTCTACATACCAGCCTTCTTCCTTCTTTGTGCTCCAGGAATGTATTTCCAGTTGTCTCCATAACGTTCCATGTGGATGCTTCCGATCACTGCATTTTCAATATGCCTAAACTCACAGAGCCATCTGCTGCCACCCCACCCAATCTGTTCCCTTTCCACTTTTCCCTATCTCTGTAAATGACACCACATTTTCCTAATCACACAGACTGTAAATCTCAGAATTACGTCTGATTTCCTTCTTTCTTCACCTCCTCTGTGCAATCGATCACTAAATCCTCCTTTTTCCTCTTCAAAAACAACACATGGGTAGCTTCCAGTTGAAACAGGAATTACATGCACGCATTTGGTTCTGCTTCCTTCTGAAACATCACTTGAGTGGCTTTCAAAGTATTTTTTAAAAGCAAAAATTTATTCCAAAAACAAAAAGAAGAAAACCACAAGTTGGAGAGTAGATACATGACCGATAATTGATTTAGCAAACCTGAAAAACTTGGATTGTAAGGCAAGAACACAAAGATCATAGGAATATCCCAGTTTTATATCTCTGAACAATTCAATGGCCCAGAAATTAGAGGAACTATGGCACATTAAGAAGTGGGATATGTGGCTGCTAATCCTGACATGTCAACATCGTTGGATTACAAAACTAGCAGGAGCCCCCTCCAGGGCATGGCCTTGATCACTACAGCCATTCCTCACTCATTCCTCTGTGGAGCTGATTCCTTGCTCGGGTTTCTGGCAGCCATGAACTAAGCAGCTTTGATCCACCACACCTCTCTACCATGTTGTTTCTGCCTTGGAACCAGCCAACCACGGACTTATTCTCCCAAACCATGAGATTAATTAAATATTTTCTTCTTTAAATTGTGGGTGTTGGGTTTTGTGTCTCAGCAAAAGGAAAGCTACTAATACAGGGATCAGGGACTAAAGAGAAAGATAATCTGAATGCCTTTTTGATGCAAGGAGAGTCCTAATTGCTCTTCCCTTTTGCCCCTACCCCAGCCAAAGATTGGAAGTTCATTCTCTGGAATAGTGGCTTTATGGCCCCAAACACCGTAACGATGACAGGTGGTGTTCTAAACAGAGGTGGCTGGTGAGAAGCTTATGTGCTAGTGCCAAGGCCTTAGGTTGTCTGCTCCTGCCAACACTCAGAGATCAAGCTTTTTAAAGGCAGAAAGTGAAAAGTACCTGTCTGGAGACTCAGCCAGCTTAAGAGAAAAGACCTAGGGACACTGACACCAGATAAACCCTAGTGACTGACCATGTCACTTCCTAGAAAATCCCTCAGGCCCCCCCCCACACCACCCACCTTTAAAGCTTACAACATAGAGATTTATTGTCTCAGTTCTAGATTTAATAGCTGTTATAGTTAGATCTAAAATGTCCCCTACAGTCTCATGTGTTCAAAGGCGGGCTTTTGGATGGTGATTGGACCATGGGGCTTCTTATTGTATCAGTGGTAAATCTGCTTATGAGAGTGCAGTTTCGTAGCTCTATTGGCAGGTGATGGGGACAGGAGTGAAGGCTGGCAGAAGGGAATGGGTCACGGTGGTGTGACACTGAGGACTCTATCTTGTCCCTGGCCCCTTCCTCTTGAATTATTTCCTTTTACTTCTGCTTCTTGGTTGCCACTAGTGAGGGGCTTTATTCTGCCACACCGTTTAGCAGTGATATTTTTTCCTCACCACAGATGCAAAAGCAGTGTTGCCAGCTGACCATGGACTGAGCCCTTTTAAATCATGAGCCAAAACAAATCTTTCCTCCTTTATTTATAGTGCTGAAAAGCTAACACAGTGTCTAAAATCCACATGTCATCAAGGCATCTTTCTCTTAAATCTCCTATTTTAAAAATCTGCCTTCTGAATAAATAGAAAAGGATTACCAGACTTTTCAGGAAAGTCTTCAATATGAAAGAAACCAAAACACAGAGAAATTAAAAGAAACAGATCATGTAAGAGAGAAGAAAGCTGGAAAAAATATCTCAGCTTTCTATTATTATTCTTAAAATCCATATGAATATTTTACACTATGAAATAAGAATAGAAGTGCTAAGCTAAAAAAAACAAATGGAAATGTTCAGAGAACAAAAAAAGAGCTCTTGGAAGTTAAAAATGTGAGAAAAATTTAAAACTCGCTAGAAATTGTAGAAAATAAATTTCTAAAAGAAAAACTAAGGTGGAAAATAGATAAATGCTGGAGACCAGAAGAAGCAAAAACAGAAAAGAGGAAAATATTAAAGAAATAATTTGTGAAAATATCCCAGAACTACAGGACATGGGTGGCTGGACTGACAGGGTCCACTGAATGCCACATGATTTAGAGCACAAAGTATGGTCACTGTGAAACTCAAAGTGTGTGGGAACATTTGACTACTTCAGGAACAAAAACAAAGCAAAACCTTGTTTAAAACGATAAGAAACAACATGGCACTAAACTTCATTACAGAGTAGTTGGAAGCTAAAAGACAATGGAAAAATGTCTTAAAATTTTTAAAGGAATGTGATTTAAAACCTAGAATATTATACTTAATCAAACTAGCAAATTTTAATGTGAGATTATAATAAGACCTTTTCAGGCATGTCATGTTCCAAAAAATTGAATGCAGTTTTAAAAATAAGGATAATGGTGGATGCAACATACAAACATAAGTGAAAAAATGAAGAGAGATGAAGAACTGGAACCCAGGCAAGAGCGATCCAATGTATGACACAGACTAAAGTGTGTGCCGTGAAGCAGACCCGTCATCCTAGCACTGCTGGGAGGCTGAGCAGGAGGATCAAGACTGAGGCCAGTATGGACAACCTAGTGGGACTCGGTCTCGAAATCGATCAATCAGGTTCTGCTTCAGAATAAAATAAATAAATAAGAAATGGAATGGGGATGCAGCTCATTGTGAAGATCCTTGGTTCAATCCCCAGCACACACACATGCACACGCAGAGAGAGAGAGAGAGAGAGAGAGAGAGAGAGAGAGAGAGAGAGAGAGAATGAATGAATGAAGGAATTGGGATAAACATGATAGGAAAACTGCAGGTAAGAGTTGGGCAACATGTATGGAGCAGCCAGTCTAATTTGGAGCAAATCTGGGGGCTTAAGCAGAAACATCGCCAAGATAAAATTGATAGCTACTTTTATCCCCTTCCTCTTTTTCATCCTCTTCCTCTTGCTCTCCTTGTATTATGACACAAATCCTCTTAAATTATTTGCCATGAAATATTTTTCTTTCATTATTTCAAAACACTAGTTGACATTGTAACATATCAAGCAAAGACTAATAGCTCAAATGTTTGCTAAGTATTAAACACTTAAGTACATTTTATGTATTATCTCAATTAATATTCACCTGAATCCTATGAGTTAAGAATTTTGTGATCTCCACTAAGAAGATAGAATAAGACACAAAGAGGGTAAGTACTGACACCTATGAGAATCGGTAGAGTTGGCACTGAAACCAAACCTGACTCTGGAGTCCATGATCTTAACTGCAATATTATGTATTAAAGGGAAGCTGAATTCTCTGCATTGCTTTAAATTCATGAGGCAATCCTTGATTACAGTTTAGTGTGCATCTTGTCACACTTTTTAAGTTTATATGAATATATGAACATACATATATATAGAATTCTTTTCCATCTTAAAATAGTGAATGATGATGCATGTTTTTATTTTATTTCAACTGTCACTTACTGAGCATACATTTTGTGCTGACACCATAGTTAGATATTGAGATGAAAAAAGTTATAAAGCTTGTTTTCAAGATTAGTAGACTGAATATCCTGGCTTATTGAGAGTTATCATCATAAACACTATTTTTCAAAGAATGAAAGTGTAATCAGTATATTCAGTGGTAAGTTATACTAAATGCAACCTTCCACTGTAGGAACAGATCAAAATTTGTTCATCCATTTGCCTTTTGATGGGGTTGTTTTGGGCTGTTCTAGTCATTGGCTATTATGGCTACTGCTACTATGAATATTTGAGTTCAAGTTTTTGTGTGGACACAGATTTACTTTCCCTTGGGTGAATGTTTAAAAGCAGAATTACTGAGTTAGAGTGTTGAGTGTATGTTTAACTTTTTAAGAAGCCGTCAACTGATTTTTCAAATTTGTACCATTTTATAGTCCTACGAATAATATATGAGAGTTCTACGTACTCTCATATTCTTACCAATATTTGCTACTTTGAGTCTCTTAAATTTGAGGCATTTGAATGGGTGTGTAGTGGTATCTCATTGTAATTTTTGGGCATTGGAATGGGTATGTAGTGGTATCTCATTGTAATTTTAGTTCTAAGTTCCATTTGATTATTTTATGTCTTTGGTGAAGTATGTATTCCAAATCTGTTGCCCATGTCAAATCACTTCTGTCCATTAAAATGTTTTGGTTATCTTGTTCTTGTGCTCTGAGTGTTTTTATGTATTCTGAATGAAAGTATATTTTTATCAGAAATATACTTTTCTTCTATTCTGTATTAATCTTTCCATTGTCTTAGTAGTATCTTTTGAAAAGCAATAATCCTTAGATATCAATGATGTTTAATCTTTTTGAACTTATTCTTTTGGTATTATGGGCAATTTTTGCCTATTCTGCTATTTTAAGTATTTCTTTTATTGATTAAAATAAATTATTCATATGTGATATAACCATGTACTTAGAACAAAATAATCAATTTAATAACTGTGAGAGCTTAGGGGAAAATTAAATAAGGAAAGTATAATGGAATTCAGATCTTAACTTCCTTATGTAAGTATTGGTCCAAGAGCTTTCAGAATGGCCCGTATGTCAAAAGAGTCAGCTGAAGAGAGTTTGATGAAGAAAAAAATACTTACATCAGAGCATGTAAGGACCAACTTTCTAGCCACAGGAATTCATTACAAATTGTGGGGCTGAAGGATCAAAAGAATAACACAGTTTTTAGAATTCAAGGAGATCAATAGCTAAAGGTGAGGTCCATCCAGCAGAAGATGTGGTCTTTGGTGGAGGAATATGGCCACCGCTGGTCCACGATCCACCAGGGAGGGAGTCTGAATAACTGCACCAGTCTCTCCCCACTTTGAATCTTCTTTTCCTCCTAGTAGCTAAACTAAACTGGAAGCAGAGAGCAGGAAAGCTCAGCAAATGCTATCCATGAAGAGCAGTCCCTCAGAGATGACTGTTGGTTCATTGGTATAACAAAGCCAAACTGATTAGGGGAAACCCTCCAATTCCAATGTAAAGAATACTGACTGTGTTTACTGCTGTCGCTATTTCTCTCTTGGGCAGGGTGCCTTGTAGAACCACTAAGCTCAAAATTGCTGTGTCAGTGTAAGAAACAAAAATTTCTCATATGGGTTGTTAAACCAATTGGTAAGAGTAGCTACAACCCATTTCCATCCCTTACGTCCCAATCATGATCATTCTAGTTAGGAATGGATGGCGCTGTGTGTTGGCCTGGTCTAGTACATGTAGTAGGAAGGCATCCCACCTGCAAGACTTTCATTCTGAGCCTGGCTTTCAGAAATCTCAGCTCTGTAGCTACAAGAGAAATGGTACCTTTTAGAGTGCTTGTCAAAGTTTTCCAATAACCTTAGTGAATTTTTAGCTGGAAACATGACACTCTAACCTCATCCTTTCTCCTCTGAAAGTTCTTTGACTCTTAGAAACAAGCAACTTGTTACCTCTATCTCTTACTTTGTGGCTACTCTTTAAGGCAGGAAAGGCAAGGATAGGCTGTTTGAGGCTGGCATTTTTGATCTCTAGTTTTCAAGGTTAATTGTTTTCCAGCTAACTCTTATTTTTGTGGAAATGGTATCTTCTTTACCATTCTATAACAACTACTTGGATACTCAAAACTTTATCTTTTTTAGGATCTTGGCTTCAGCTAACTGTAGATAGTAGTCTAGGTAACTATTTTGTCAACCTATGCATGGATTATCTACTATCACATTTTACTAGTGGTAACATAGCCACTAATATCTTAAAATCTGTCTGGAACAGAGAAGCAATTCCAGATTCCTACCTCCACCATTTCATTCTCCTGAAACCAATTCCTGTATTTGAAGTTTTTCAACCAAATTTAGGCAGAAGAACAGAGGTCCTGTGAGACCAATGGGACAGGGCTTATTACGGGAATGTGCTCTTATGCAGCTATATAGGAAAGTAGAGAAATGGAAATCTGGAATAAGTTGGGGAATGGAACTCAGAGAAGGAGTCACCTTCCAGGCACTTTGAGAAGTAAGCACTTCCAGCTGCAAGACTTGTCACTAATAGGGAGTGTGTGAAGAGGCTCTGTCTGGCCAGCACCTCTGCTGGTCCAAAGCCAAGCCCTTGCCTGAAGTTGATGTTGGTCATCAGGACTGTCTAGTGGGAAGAAAAGCTGGCTGTGCATGGCCTGGGTACCTCCATGTCTAACTAACATAAAAGAAAACATTCAGAGAATAATGACTATGAGTTTACTTCTAGCTTCCAAATTTCTCATATACATCTCTCTTGTCTAATTCTAAAATAATACAGTAGAGAAAGGGGATTCTGGAAAATATAATTCCAAAACTGACCATGTTGACATCATAACACAAGCCACCATACATACAGACAGGTTTTTATAAAGTCAGCCCAGTGATGATTAGACTTTTGTCTTCTCAGATCAGTAAATTATTTTTAAATGAATATTATTTTTAAATGAATAGGGGTGAGGAATTGTGAAACCATTCTATTCTATAAAAGAAAGAACATTTTTAGTACCAAAATTAATGGAGGAAGTAATATCATAATATAAAATAATCCCTTAAATGGAAAACAATATAAATTTATGAAAATTCATTACTATTCTCTTCATTATTTTATACCAAAACTTCATTTCAGACCCATCCAGGGGAATGGATTAGATAATATCAGGGATTTTTTTTTTGGCCTCACACTAAAGCAATAACAAATTCAGTAATATTTCTGTCTTCATAAAGACCATTTCTTTAGTCCATTACTTGTGCAGAAGATGGGTAAGTTAACTGAACTTACCAGTATGATTTTAAATTTTTTGTCTCTAGGGCAATGGTAAGACTTCTCAGGCTAACTCGATTTTAGTAATCTAGAAAAGAAGACTGAGAAATAGATACAACTGATAAGCTCAACTCCTACTCAAGAGCATGTAATTATGTGTTTTTACCACCAGAACTATTCAAAATTGCAAAACTGGAGCATTTGAACTGGAAATTGTTCAATGGTTTTCTGACACCTCATCTCTCATGTGTCAATTGATCTGACTTCAGATTTCCAACTCTGGTATTAACATTTTTTAAAAACAAGAACATTTGCTTTGTTGTTGTATTTTGGAAGACAGGGTAGCCCATAGCATGAAAATGTGAAGCTATGGAGTTGTCCTAATTTTTCAAGGGGTCCTTCAGGATGGAACTTTTTGTCTCTAGGATATTCTTCTCTTTGTTCTCTGCTGAGGGCAGCTCTTGGTGGCCTGCTCAGGGTCCTGTTTTCTGTGTATCAGCGAAAGGACTCTCTTCTGCAGCCAGTGGAAGGCCTGCTCCACGTGGAGACAGGCAAGTGGCCTGTGGTTTGGGAGCATCCTCTTCTAGCTGTGCTGCAGAGGCCGAGGGCTCTGTGATGCCTGACACATGGCTGCTGCTCTCTTTACCTGCCATCTGGGCAAATTTCTGTTCTTTACATATCACAGGCAGCTCTGGAAATGGGACATCATCTTGTCTGCTAATTTGCAGGTGGGTGAGTCTTGGCATACCTCCTGTCTCTGAGGACTCACCTGAACCCAGTGTGAAGGAGAACTGCTGTTGAGTTGAAGACTTTCAATCAGATCAAGTTCAAAGGAATCCCAGTCATCATTTTTCATCTTTCTCTTGTTTTTTGTTTTGTGATTTACTTTGTGTTTTGATTTTCATCATTATCCTTTTGGATTTCTTCATTATCCATTTGACCACCCTGAAATGTTTTCAGCAGTTTCACAAGACCATTCAGTGTGCCTTCGGTAAGTTTTGGTTCATCTTTGGGGTACCTGTCTGGCAATCCCTTGCCTCCACGTATATTTTTGTGAGCAGTTGATTCTCCAAAGTCATTAGGCCAGGCTCCGGTGACACCTAGTTTGTAGATCTGATGTGGGTCATCCTGAAGTAGCTTTTGTAGGTTTGGCCCTCTCTTTTTCCCTTTAGGACCTCATGTGCCTTGGATAGGAAGGATGAGGTCACCTGAAAAACACACATTGCGTGACATGTCATCAAGAAGGATGATGTCCTCACAGAATGAGGAATCGTCACAGGATAAATAGTCCCTAGAGAGACTTGGTGTGGATTTGGCTTCAGAACTACAGTCCTCAGAGGGATCACTGCTAGAGGATGAGAATGCCGTGCAATTGAGAAGCATTTCTGTCAACACAGGAAGCTTCCAAAGGAGAAAAATTGGAGATATTGAGGAGAAACTTCACTGCCAACTCCTAGAGCATAAACAGGAAATGTGAGAAAATCTTCAGGTCCCAAGTCTCTGGGTAATTATCTAATAGGTTATAAACTATCTTCTATGACTTTTGGTTACCATGGCAACATCCAAACTATAGCCCGGTAGTGGGAATAGTGAAAACAAGGATAGGAAACCACAGTATATTCCCTTCCAAAAACACTGTGATCACACTCATTGCAGGCTAAGGAGTACCTCCTGAGGCCAGAAGGAACACTGCCCCAGGGTGGGGATTACTTTCCTCATGTCTTGGGATGTCTGAGGTCATTCCTGTCCTCAGAGAACTGAAGCCTTCTTTGGGGAAATCCACATAAACAACCCAGTCTCAGATAGGGTGGTTAGTGTAACAGAAGAGCCTAAAACTTGTGTTCTGATGATAGAGGAGAAATAAAACTCCCCGATAGATGTGCAATGTGCTGAGTTGTGTATCCTGAAGTCAAAGAATGAATTCAAAAAGAAAGGAGGTTAACAGTACAAAAGATTTACTGGGAAATGGGAATAGCTCCTGAGAGACAAGAGGGGTCTAAGAAATGATTGCCACCGAGGCCCTTTGGCAGAGGTAATTTATGCAGCAAAGTCACAAATGGGGAGACAACATGGGCCAAACTATAATCAATGTACAGGATTATAAATATCATTGTTTAGCTAATATTAATCCAATAGAGAAGCAGGGCATGTAGCAAGAGCATGTAGATGGCATCATTAAACTTGGCCTGTCAATGACTTCTAAAAAGGAGCATTTTGGAGAAAGGATGAGCCCAGGTGTTCTGGTCACCCACCCAGCTGTATATCTGGATTTAATGGACTCGGTGGTATAATCTAAAGTTTTGATTCAGCCCCTAGGAAAATATGTAAGTCTGGTCATTGCAATTTTAACTCAGCCTTGTCTTCTTCAGATGCCACAATTCTGATGTCTCTACCTTCACCGACTTCCTTGAGAGAGCCCAGTCCCTTTCGGACTGCGTATTAGTTTTTACCTAACTTAGTTATCTATACTATTCCGCCCTGTGAAGAGGTATCCCAAAGCACAGTTAGGGGAGAACGGGCAAAGTTTCAGTCTAGCTTTTTCAAACAGAGAAGGGTCAGTGTAGGGCCCTTCTCCAGGAAGTTAATCCATGGTGGGGTTAGTATTATAAGGTCACTCTTGTGGGACCCAGTAACAGCTTATTGCTGGTTACATTTGCATGCTCATTTAGAGTCTGGCAGTTTCTAGGCAAAAATAGACAATTTTTTCTAAGAGATAAAAGCATGTATGATCAAAGCGAAGCACTAGAATGGACAAGCAGACCAAGGGAAGTGTCACATCCAGACCCTGCTTTCAAGAGACTGGATAATGATTGTAACCAGCTAGCACAAGGTTTAAATTTTATGATCTCATCTAGGGATTGAGCACCTGGAAGTATATAGTATAACCAATGAACTGTTATTACTTTGCCAACCATGCTTGTCTTAGAAGTTGAATCTCTGTAGAATATTAGCAGATAATAATTACAAAGCTTTATAGAGAAAATTTGAGGTTTAGGGCCACATACTATTTCAACATGACAATCATGATGACATTGTATCTCCAAAAGCACATTTAAGTTCCATTTTAGTATAAAACAGCTTTTTGTCAGTTATCTTTATCTACTTGTAAGATATTAAGTGACATAAAGAAATTTTTTATCTAATTTATTACCTTTTAACCATGTTTTGGTAAGAGCAATACTTCAATAGAATGTATTTGTTCACAGATGTACTTTATAGATTATTACTGTCTATCTATCTCTAGTCATTAGAGTACATTGTCTGGGCTGCACATGTTAAGGTACCTTTCACTGTTACAATGCAATTACATAACAAAAGCACCAGCATGAATCTGGAAATTTACTGCATTATCTGGCTGGTGGCTCATGCCAGGTACATTTTATCACAGACGGCTGGAATACAAGTAAGGGAATGCCAGATATCTTGCCTACCACCATAAACAAGAGGGTTGGCCAGTATTACTAACATTTGGGACTGAATACTCTTTGTAGTGGGTGGTTATTGATGCATTGAAGACAAAGAGCGCATTCTTGCCCCTCTGCTCAGTAAAGGCCAGTAGCATTTTTCCTCTAGTTATGACAACCAAAATATATCCCCAGCATTGGTGGAAATAAAGCAGCCTCTTCTTCCTCACTGAGAACCAGTGATCTAACTTTAACCTGAATGCAAATATAAAAATATGGGGGAGGGTACATGAGCATCCTAGACAGAGATGGAGAAATCACTTCAGGCTGCTGCCCTTAGCAAAGAAAGGAGAAGAGTAGGCACAATGATTAACTGTTGAAGTGGACCAGGCACTTTCTGATGTCTGGTTCACGGTCCCTCGGCCTGGTTCTGATGGCAAACACAGTGGACAGTCCTATTGCTGCAGGCAGCTGAATTAGTTAGAAATATTATAGGCAGCAAGACAGGGCTGGGTCCTCCAAGGAGAACCTTACAACTATGGGGGAGACAGACACCTCCTGCTGTAGTCCAGGCCTCAAGACAAAGGATCAAACAAATGCACCCATGTCCTATGGACTGATATTCTAAGTAGTTCCCTGTCACCCTGAGGAAGTCAGGAGTCACCATTCCAATCTCCTAGGGAAGAGTCACTGCTCTCTAAGCATGCCTGCTTTCTACACAACTTGCTTCCCCATTTGTCTCTAATTTAGTCAATTTTACCGCAACTATTAATCTTATTGGTTAACCATAGTTCTGTCCCACCTTATGCCCATCTGCCTTGTGAGTTACCAGTTTTCCCTGCCTTAAACCTGTCTCACCCCGTATCACAGTCTCTGGCAACCAGCCCGGGACCCCTTCTGTCTCTCTCAGACAGAAGCTTTCTTTCTCTCAGTAAATACGTTCTGCTCTTAACCTTTGTTGTTCCTAAAATTCATTCTTCAATTTTAGAGAACATGAACTCGTACTGGATATAGTAGGTCAGGAGTTTCATTGCCCTGTTTCAGTATGTGAGTGCAGACTCAACTTTAACGATGTTGTCCCATCTCTGGACACACCCTGTAACTTTCCATGTGCTTTCTCACAGCTCCTAGGAGCATGTGTGTGGTGTGTTGAGAGAAGGGGAACCATGTTAGCAGTGCTGGGTAGCTAATAGACTCAGAAGCAGGCCCTATACCCTTTGTCTCCTCGTTCTTTGGGCAGACAATCTGGGAGGCACTCTAGATTTTTCTCTAGAATAGAACCCCGATGCCCTGTCCAGACACCTCAGTGTTGCACCCTCATGGTAGGTGGCTCTGTCTTTCTCATCTCTCCCTCCTCACCCTCAGATCACCTTAGGTTTAACCTAAGCTCTATTTTAGGGAAACCAAAACTAAGACAACAGGCTTTGTGGTTTGTATAGTGAGTTATATCCACCATACTTCCATTCAAAGTTCAGTTCACAGAGGAAATTGTATGTTGTTGTTCTTCAGCTAATTTCCACAGCAAACAGAAAGGTTCTGCCAATGAGATAAAATGACATTGTTTTTCTTTACCCTTTCAACCTACTGCAAGTCATCAAATCCATCTATTCATCCAATAAATATTTCTTAGGCACGTACTGGCCTAGGAGCTGGGGGATATACACTATTAAATGAGGTAAGCAAAAATATGTCTTCTGCAGCTTGCAGTCTGGTAAGCAAAACTGTAATCCATGCAGTTCAGTCATGGTTGTAGGTTGGACAGTGGAAGAGGCTGTTGGAAGCGAGACTAATTGGCCTGGAACTCAAATCTCCAGCTCAGTGTTTCTCTACCTATCTGTGTTGGTCTCCTGCCCGCTTGCCCAGTCTTTCCTGGCATGCCCCATCTTTGACACAACCCCACATTTCTGTCAGATGTGTGTTTTTCTCCCTGTTTTTCCAATAGCGTTACCTTTCCTGCAGATTGAAGGTCCCCCCTCCTCTAGCAGTTTCAGCAGCTCCCAGCTTCAGCCACTCCCAGGGACTCCTTGAACCCTGCTCAGTTGTTCTGTGAGCTGTGATGAAGCTTCAGCCTCCTGTATTCCCAGTACATTCCCTTCTGCCGCCAGGCCCCTCTCGCCTCTGTCTCTCGCCTCTGTCACATGCATGCACCACTGATGACACAGCCCTTGCTTTGGATCCTGATTCGTGAGTTTACATTTTCCAGGGAGTGAATCTTGAGCTGGGTGAACTGCATGAAGCAGTAATATCTCACTTGATAAGAATTGTGCCAGGCTTCTGGGCCAAGGGGAACATGCACAGTTGGGATCTATAAATAGAAACAGCAGCAGGAAATAGACTGACCTGGGGGCAGGCAGTGATTTGCAAGTAGACCTCACATATTTTCCTTAGGGAAATTAGCAGGTCTCATTTCTGTGCCCAGTGGGATTTTAGAATTAATTCTGTCTTAGAAACAAAGGATGATTGTCAAGGTAAAGATCAATCAATGTCCTCTCCTCCTTGACTGGGGAAATTGGTGTTTTGTGTGCCCTGACAAGGGTGAGCTTAGTAGTGGTTTGAACTGTGGGTTCACATTTTACATGCTCAGGACCCATGGAAATGGATGCTGTCCTGTGTATGACAGCAAGCTTCCGGGTAGTGCAGGGCAAAGCTCACTGGGTGGCTGGAATTATGCTTTGGAACTTGTCTAGCCCTGTCACTCGGGGTGACTGGGGCCAGCACACAAGAGCGGTGTGGAATGGGGTGGGAAGGCAGCTGGGCCTCCCTGACAGCCCAGGTCTCGATGTTCACAACCATGACACTCAGTGGGAGTGGAGGGAAGCGTCCCAGGCTCAGGCTCGCTTTTGAGTTATCTCTTGTCTGATTCCCACAGTGGGGGCACATCTCTACCCCACCTCCGGCTCAGAGCATTCTCCTGGAAGCCTGAGGAAACGGCGAAGTCATCGGCACAGGCTATGTTCCTGTTCGTAGCTCTTACTGATGTCTGCAGAATGCTCCTAGCAGCTGTGATTTATTTCATAGTTCAACCCTGGGATAGCTTTTCAGATGAGGAACTGGGTCTAAGAGATCATAAAGGGAGTATATAGAAGATTTAGGACTTCAGATCTAAATCTGACCCCAGAGTCTGAGCTTTCTACACCACATCACACCACATTTTGCCTAAATATTTTCCAGTCATTCATTCTGAGGCTGTTATTTTGTCTAGGAGTTTGTCATTCTGATGTGTCAGAAATCTTTTTTGCAGGAGGAGAAGCATGTTCTATTTTAAAGTGCATTACATTTAAAGTCCCGAGTCTCAAATTCAAGTACTATTTTGGCCACTACATGGCTGTGTGACCATGAACCAGTCTCTTAACCTCTTTGGCCTTACATCTGTTAACCAAGAGGCTGAAACCTGATGTTGTTTTGGGTTTTCACAATTCATATACTCTCGGGGAGCTCCATTGTATTAGGGAACACCCCACGGGGCCAGGAGGACATTTCTTTCTGAAAAATAAGCCCTGGCTCTGAGGGTCTCTCGAGGATTGATTTGTATCAAGCAAAGGTTCTGACTGATCATCCTGGCCAGTTTTAGTTACCTGGCGCTTTGTAACCCAGTGTGGCTTAAACACAGAAAGGATCGGCATCCTCCCTTGGGCCCTTGTGTGTCCACGCTCACTGGTGTGTTCATGATGGTCTCGGGCCCACACTGGATTCTGTCTGGCTGCTAGCTGGGGCTGCAGGGCTCCCTCGTTGGCTTGTTTATCAAGCAGGTTAGCTGACTTCTTTCCATCGGCAGATCAGAGGGAAAGGGCAAGCCAGCTACAGGGTCTCCTAGGGTCTGGGCTTAGCAGTCATGCAGCGTCATGTCTGTGCATTCAAGGTAGCTGGAGCCACATCAGGTGAGAGAGAAGGAGACGGGGGATGGGGGGTGGTACACTGATACCTTTACCTTTTTTCTACCTCTTGGTGGAAATGGTGATTTAGGACCATTTCAGAAGAGTGAGAAGTGTGTCATCCTTTAAAACAGTGAGCAAAAGGAGAAGGAAAACATCCCTGAAAGAATGGGTATTACAGCATGGGAGATGGGGGGAGGGGGGAGCTGCATGTGCACCACCCGGGACAGTGATGATGAACTTTCAGAACCAAGCACCCAAACTGCAAGCCCAACCCCATTATTTATCACAAAGTGTCAGCATGCAATTAACCTGAATACTGAGGTTTTAGTTCAGAAAAAAATGACTCATACATTAAGACAAATAACATACATGCCACAGGTCCACCACCCCTGACCTAAATTGTCCTTGCAGCACACGATGAGGACCTGACAGCTCTGTGGGCTCTGGAGTGATGGATGCAGGGTGATCAGAGCCACCTGACAGCTCTGTGGGCCCTGGAGTGATGGATGCAGGGTGTCAGAGCCACCTCATCTCCCCATGTGGACCTTCCCCTCTCTTCTCTCCTTTCTGAGAGAATTTTGGGGTGGCTGAAAAGATAAGAAGTATGAAATATAAATGACCTTTATTTTAAGAATGTGGGGAGAGACACCCCCACCCCCACCCTCAGGGTCCAGCATTCTCTCCCCCGGTGTGGGGATCTCTCCCTTGCACATTTGGGGTGGAGCCTAAGGGGCATTAGGGATGTGTAGGAAGCCCATTGGTATTCATTTCTCGACACAGGTAAATTGCCTAGGGGCCAGGAAGGTGGAGCCACAGGTAAATTCTTAGGGGCGGGGAAGACAGAGCTCCTTGGTGCCGCCTCCAAGGCTTTACGGGCTACAGTGTCTGGCCTAGGCCAAAATCCTTTCACTTTCTCCTGAGTTTTTCCCCCTCCAGTCACCACTGATTTTCCCAAACCATGCACTTAATTTTTCTGAGGAAGAAAAGGTCTGGTGGACAGTCACCTCCTCTACACCCCAAATCTGTGCTCACGCACACAAGACTGAGGTCCTTGGCCTGTCCATGCAGAAAGCCACCTGGGAGCCATTTGCAGGGGGTTTCTTTGTGAACATTGGGATTTGGGTTCTTTGGCTGTCAAATTATGACATGATCCTGAACAAAGGCTATTGTCTTACACTCAGGCCAACTCTCTTTCATTTGTTTTTGCTATCTGGCAGCCTCTGGAGGTAATTATACTTGTATCATAGATTCAGTCCAACACACAAGTTTACAGACAGGTAAGAGAAATGAAGCACAAAGAGGTAAAATGATCAGCTTTTCAGAACAACAAGAACCTGACCTCGCTTTCTTATTCATTACCTATCTTTATTCTTTCACAACCCCGTGGTCAAGCCCATAGATGAGGAAGTCAGTATTTGGGGAATTAAAACCCTAGCCCTCCCGACTCCTCTTTGTAGTATACTTTTCAGCACAGAATGTGGGGTTGGCTTGCAGTTTAAGGGAGAACATATTTGCCACCATTTTCCTGGAATCCCATGTGACACAGGGACCTTTGTTATCAGAACCTCTACATATGATATTAGGAAAGTATTGTAAGTCCAACCTGTAAGAGTTTGTCTTCTCTAAAATCGAGGAATGAATTCTAGGAATAACAGAGATTGCAAGTAGAAATACATATTGAGGAATAGAAAGCTCCTGCCAGAGGAATAGAAGCGGACACCTGGAAAGTGGGTTGCCTGAGGACCCCACTTATCAGGGGAAGTTTTAAGGTGATCAACTATGTGGGTACAACATGGGTTACAGCTGTGATCAACCAATAAGATTATAAGTCTAGCTGCTCAGGTGAAGTTGATCCAGTGACGAAACAAGTCATGTAGCCAAGTGGGCATGGAAAGAACAAAGAACTTCTCAGGAAGGTGACAGATCCTGGGCTCTTGGTTGCCCACTGAGGTGACTGATACATCTACACTTTGTTAGACCTGGTATTACCACTTACCTCACCCCTGTGGAGTGTGTAGGCCTTACACACTTACACACCTTTACTGACACTCTCTAGTCACAGTTGTAGTGTGTTTCCCCCTTTTGTCTAGACTCTCCCTTGAGAGCCCAGGCCTCCCTGGCTGCCTGTAACATTCTTACTTAAATTAGGGTCTATAATGATGGAAGCATCGTATGTCTTCAGAGGCCTAAACTTTTGCTACAGAGCAGATATCATTTGGTGTCCTTGAAAAACCCTAAGCAAATAAAATTGTTTGCAGATGATCACCTTATTATCTTGAAGCAAATAAAGCAAGCCTGAGACTGAAAAGGGCAGTATTACTCTGTGCGTACACGGCAGGATATGGTGTTTCATCTTGTTACAGGAAAAACTGCTTGGGGAAAGGAGAGGGACTTGTCCACTGCAGGATCCCAGGGCGACATCAGGACCCCATATATAGGATTTCTCGCAAGCTCACACGAGGACCTGGATGGCACAGGAAGAGGACTGGGCATCTTGGAGAGACGCTGTCCTGTGTGAGTACACAGTAATCCACGCTGCCTGTCTCAGAAACGGTGTGTACTTTTATTTTTGTTTTTTATGATCTTTTTTCTTTGTTCAGCCCACGTTCTCTCTGCAGAGTTAGTTTTTCCCATACCTTTTTACCCTACCTTCTTTGAAATAAATGTTTTGACACCATTATTGGCTTGTGTTTTCCAATTCTTTGAAACAAGAAGGCCTTGGAGTATTTTTGATTGGTGAGCCTCTTCCAAAGGAATTGCCCTGTACTAGTTGTTGGAAGCCAGCCAAGAGAGTACATTTTGGCACAACCAGTCCCCACCAAAAAGAACATTTTGGTGTGGCAAGGAATGGCAGTAAGGCTCAAGTGAGGCCTGTGTGGGCACACTTGCGGTTTCTTTCTCAAATGCCTGAGATTTCTTTTCTCCTTCTCCTGGGAATCAGAGGGCTCCCCTCGAGGCACCAGAGAGAGGCTTCCAGGGCAGCCACGGAGATGGGGAAGGGTACACAGGTGTTTGTTTTTCTTTCTAGCTGCTTGAGTTCGCTCCACAGGTATGCCTCGTCTGTGAGTTTCTCGTATGTTAAATTCACCTGGTCTCTGTGTATTTGTAGATGGCTTTTTCCTTGGTTTGTGCTTTGGTTGGGAATGCTGCCGTGTTGCTGTGCCCTGTGGCCAGTAGGTGTCTTGTCTTCCTGCCTAACTATGCGTGACTGGCACCAGCTGCGGCCATCTTTTTTCTCTTTCTTTTTCTTGCTTTCTTTCTGCTTTTTTTTCTTTCTTGCTTGCTTTTTTTTTTTTTTTTTTTGCTTCCTTCCTTTTGTC